CTGGACAGCAGCTGGACAGCAGGTGGTCAGCAGCTGGACAGCAGCTGGACTGAACTGGACAGCAGCTGGACAGCAGCTGGACAGCAGCTGAGGCTTTGTTTGGTTAAATGAAGAAAAGATGACTGACGGCAAAGATGGAGGCTCATCAGAGCGTAACCATGGTGATGAGCCGAACAGCATCACAACCCAAAACCTGCACAGATTTACACAGAACCTTTAGACCTGTCACTCATCAGGGAAAACGTGCCGGGTCAGCCTAAGCAGAACCGGTCCTGGTCCAGACCTCATGGAGTCTGTGAACCTGGTCCACGTAGGCTCGTTGTTAACCTTCATTCACCTCGTATCCTAAAATGGACCTGGAACCTGTGGGACCTGAGTCCAGCAGCGGGTTCAGTCAGACCCGGTCAGACTGAGTTTGGTGCAGGGACTGAAGTGAGTCGACCTCGGAGCTTCAGAACCAACGGTCCGATGTTTCTCTGAAAGCTTCTGATGTTTCTGCTGCTCAAACAAATCAATAAAGTTGCTTCAAAATGAATGTCAACAAGCCCGGTCCACGTTCATCAGCTCTGAGGTTCTGTTGATGGACCACCATGTTTTCACCCCATGTCTGTCAGCAAAATATCTCACGAGCCAGTGGATGAACTGCAGTGACCTCACGCTGAGGTTTGGGTCAACACGGTGAGTTCTTACCAGAACTTTTAAAAATCGGTTTCAGACTTTAAATCGTCTCCTGAACCGACCGAGTCCAAACACTGTCTGAGTCCAGGTTTAGAGGTTCTGGTCCTCCTGTTGTTCTCAGGTGGACCTGAACCGACCCAGACCCAGCGAGTCCAAACACTGTGTCTGAGTCCAGGTTTAGAGGTTCTGGTCCTCCTGTTGTTCTCAGGTGTGTGGCAGTACCGCAGCAGAACCACCAGGGGGCAGTCTGATCCTGTCACATACCGTCTCCTGTCCTGCTCAGAGGAACCCTGGGCAGGAGCCCCCCCTGCGTGCTGTGTGACGTCCTGATTGGCTGCGGCGTGCTGT